ACTCGTTACGAAGAAAGAGGCCCATTAAACCCATCAGGGTCTAATGAGACTGTTTATAACCTAGTTGGTGTCATTTTAACTCAATTGGAGTTTTTAACGAGAATTAGGCCCATTATATCCGCTACCACCATTTGGACTCACTAAGGACCGTTACGACCCATTCCGCCTCAATTACTCCAATTAACGTCTGATTATACTAATTTCGAACCATTTAGTACCGTTATGGCTCAATTAGTATCGAATAGGAATAGGAGTTGTGATCGGTTTTTGGGTTTGCTTGCTTGCGGCCTTTGCTTTCGACTTTGAGGCTAGGGTTGGCCGATTCTCTTGTTTCTTGGCTAGGGTTTGCATGCGCCTAGGGTTCTCGGCTAGGTTTTGCATGCAATCACGGGTTTTTTTGTGGGCTGTTTCGTTTAGCGAGTATTCTCCTTTTTGTCTTTTGAATCGTATCGTCCTGCTGCTGCTTTCGGTTTGGGTTTATTCTTGCTTGTTTTTTGCTTCGAACTTTGGTTGCGAGTTAGGTGTGTGTCTTTATCTAGTTTTCTTTTTCCTGCGTCAAGTGTTTTTGTGGTCTTCGTCTCCTTGGTTGAGTTTATTGATAGAATATTCAGCACCTTCCTGTAAGGTCTTCGTCTATTTTATTGAGAACGCTTGACTTGGGATTCAGCACCACGGCTTCTTGATTAGGGATTTAGTAAACTAGGTATTCTTGCTTTGGTTATGATGTCTGATTTTGCGGATGTTATCTTGGAAGAAGACTCTTCCCAGGAATTCGCCGATATAATCCTGGATGAGACGGTTCCTAGTTTGTTGAAAGGACCTCCTTTGCATGACGGTATACGGAAGAAGGTTGGGGTTAATGGTGGTCCGACTCAGAGGGTTTCGGTGTGGGAACGTCTCTCTCCGGCAGTTAGGGGTGATCCGGGCGTGGTATCTCCAAAGTCCTTTGCTGAAATTGTGGGAGGCACTTCAAAGCAAGAGCTTACTTATTTTCCGGTTAAGAAGAGTGTTAAACCGCGGATCTTCTTTCCTTTGGAAGTTACAAAAGGTATGGCCAAATCCTTCCAATCGGTTCTTTATGGGTATTTTCTAGGACCTCGTCTTCCTTTTCCCATTGTCCTGCGTGCGGTGCAGAATGCTTGGGGAAAGTTTGGCCTTAAAAATACTATGGTTAATGATCTTGGTTATTTCTTTTTTCGATTTAATGATGATGGTGGGTGCAACCAAGTGGTTGAGTCGTCTCCCCTCATGATTAGAGGGAGGCCGCTTTTTGTCTCCACATGGGACCCCTCAAAGGGTCTTCAGAAACCTGAACAYACTTCTTGCCCGTTATGGATTAAGTTCTATAATATCCTTCTTGTTGCTTTCAATAGAGAGGGTATTAGTCGTATTGCAAGTGCTATTGGTGTTCCTCTGCGTTTGGATGCTTGCACGGCTAGCACTTGTGATAAAGCTTGGGGACGTACGAATTTTGCTAAAGTGTTGGTGGATGTTTGTGTTGTGGGTGAAATACAGCGGCAAATTGAGGTTGTTATTCCGAGGCTTTCGGGTACTGGTGAGGATGTGATTAATGTGGTTTTAGAATATGATTGGGTTCCTTCCCAATGTTCGAAATGCAAAGTTTTTGGTCATCAAACGTCGTCCTGTTTGAAAGGCGAAATTAAAAAGCCAAAGGTTACTTCTCTTCCTTCGCATAATGAGGGGTTTCAAGAACCTAGACGTAAACATTGGAAGCCAAAGTCCAAATCTGGATTCGGTATTGATGCTCAAGCTTCTTCTTCAGGTACGCCTTCTGCTTCTCAAGACACGCTAACTGGAGTTGGTACTGTACAACAGGTTAATGAGGTTTTGCTTGTCCCGGGCGGTTCTGATAAGGACATTAATGTTATACGGCATGATGGTTCTAAAATTTCGGATGGAAAGGGTGTGGAAAGGGAGGATAGTCAGTTTTGTGCGGTGGATGCTGGGAGGACGCCAAAAGGGAAAGATGCTTTTTCGAATGTCCAAATTCTATCTAAGGGGGGTTCGGAGCTTGTCAAAACGGTGGTCCATGCTTTCAAACCAAGAAGAGGCGCTGTAATCGATTCTCTTCTTTACCGTCTGATGACTCTAGTGATGATGATGATATGGAGATCATTGATATTGAGGGGTATACTATGGAACAACGAGGAGGGGAAACTCAAACTTCAACGTCTCAATGATAAAGTTCGCTGCATGGAATATTAGGGGTCTTAATGCCCTAATAAAGCAAAAAGAGGTACGTGATTTAATCCATATAAAGCATCTTTCTTTATGTTGCATTATTGAATCAAAAGTTGTTCATAGTCACCTGGGGGACGTTTGTGGTAGAGTTTTTGGTAATTGGAGTTGGATCACAAATGGGTTAATGTGTGACCAAGGTACGCGGCTTATTATCACTTGGGATCCTTCTGTGTTATCCCTGATAATGATTGAGCAGCAATCTCAATATGTCCATTGTGAAATTAGGATTGTTGGTCACCTTGAACCAATTTTTATTTCTTTTGTTTATGGGTGTAATACGGGAGTGGAAAGACGTGACCTTTGGAGAGATATTGGTAAATTTAGTGCTTTTGTCCAAAGGAAAGCTTGGGTTGTAATGGGAGATTTCAACTCTATGCTTTTTCCACATGATGGTTTGG